GGACGGTGTCTGACCCACTGTCCCAGCCAGTCCCAGAGTGTGAAAGGACAGCGTCTGACCCACTGTCCCAGCCAGTCCCAGAGCGTGAAAGGACAGTGTCTGACCCACTGTCCCAACCAATAGAGAATGAGTGCTGAGTCCTGGATCTCAGCAAGTCCATTATTTGAATAATTTGCTGTTCCAGAATTATCCCTATTTTGCAGCAGTCAATCAAGATTGTTTTGCTTCTCTTTAATCTAGGTTGCACACTTGCTGACCATCTGCACTGGAGGAAAGATGAGCAAGAATTCGAAAAAGAACATTGTCTACAAAAAAGTGTCGCGCGACAAGTCGGTTTGTACTTTCTCAAGTCCTCTTTCTCGTCCCTTTCGAAGAATACACACAGAGAACAAGAAAAGTTCTTTCTGTCCCCATAAACAGTATAATTTGCTATGTCATGGGACCCAGCTCTGTGCAACCGTTGTGCCTGACCTATTTCTAATAGTTTACCACATCAAAGACACTGTGTTGACAAAAACCTTACCCTGTTAAATAACATTCAAAAGTGTTTGTGAATTAACTAAAATGTATATTGGTTCAGAACATTCCCCATAGACTATATCAGTTTGCACTAAATGCAATCCCACATCTGCAAATGTGTGTACAAAGAGATTCCCCAGAATAATGATCAGTTATTCACAGTGGCTCACATTGAAGGTAGACAGAATGTCTCCTGAGTGAGTGAAGGTTTGTGACTCTCTTTATATTGGCTCATATTAAAGTAATCATACATTATTCATTTTGCATTGTGTTATAATGGTTTTGACCAGTTTATTACCCTGGATCACTGACCTCATTGCTGAAAACACTATCATGGGGCATTACTTGCTCAATATCCTGTGTCAGTGTCGGAAGATTTATATTGCAGCAACTGAGGTCTTTTTCTTGTTATGTCATTACAGACAGTGTACAATTTAATCAGAGATAGTAGGAACTGCAGATGCTGGAGAATCCGAGACAACAAGGCCCGGGCTGGATGAACACAGCAGGCCAAGCAGCATCATAGGAGCAGAAAGGCTGATGTTGTCTAGGCCCGAAACGTCAGCCTTTCTGCTCCTATGATGCTGCTTGG